TGGGTATTGAACATTAGCGCAATGATCAGTTTTGTTAAGGACGACTCCCTATACACAATATCAAAAATTCAGCAAAATTCCACATAGATCACTTTTGCATAAGAAATGTGCGGGGTCCTTTCGACTACCAAATCGATCACAATTTACTCGGTTGCTCCTCTACCCTGCTGAATCAAAATATTTTCATGTTTTAATATAGAAATAACAGTGTTGAGATCTGGAATAACCATCGAGTTTTTTATATTTCGTTACCTGTAGTCTAATTAACTTTGTTTTTGTGTTTTTTAAGATTTTAATATTTATTTGTAATTTTATTGTTTCTTATATTTATTTTGTTTTTGTTTTTGAATGTTAGGAAAGGAAGAAATTTTTGAATTTTTTTGAAATTTTTGTAACTGTCTAATTTTCTAATTGTCAATTTTTTTTTAATCGTTACTGTAGTCGAAAGCGACGTTTCAAGACACATATAGAAAATAATAATGTGTATTGTTCTTCCAGCCCTGAAGAAGGCCTAATATAAGGCCTAAACCTTACTATTTTCATCCACTACTTCTAAACCAAGGACGCGAATATCTTTTTAATATTAATAATAATAATTACAACATTTATCACTTTTTTTTTACAGATATGCGCACTCGCAAGGAAATGTCCTATCACGCTCGAGAAGCGGCAAGTGCGCGGAAATGTTGGTGTATATTGGTCTTGAAACGGTTCAGGTTGTAACCTGCAGGGAAAACCGTCGCAGGGAGTTTATTCTTTATGTTTGTTCTCCAGAAATATGAATTCTGATATAATGAGGTTCTTGGTGCCTCTAGTTTGACAGTAAATTCATGGTTACCGTCTGTTTGACGGGTTCGCCTGATAGGTGCTACTCTCGGTGGAATCATACGTGCCAACTCTTCAGAGCATTTTTCGTGATAGTACCTGTAGAAGAGAGATAAATCGCCCACAGATCTGCGATGTTCGAGACCATCCAAGTTACGAGTAAGTGCGGGGTCATTGATCAGCTTTATAGCTCGTTTTTGCACGGCGTTCAAAAGCATTAAGGTATGTTTGGGTGCTGCACTCCATATATGTGAGCAGTACTCCATAGTTGGTCGAATCTGGGCTTTGTAGAGTGTCAGCAATTGGCTTGGTGTGTCTTGTACGAAATAGCACCCCAAGCTTTTGGGACGCCCTTTTAGCAATATCTGCCACGTGACTGTGCCAAGACATGTTGGTCCCTGCAGTAACCCCCAAGATGTTCAACTGACTCTGTAATGTGACAGCACTTCCAGATGGCATGATGTTTGGCTCACCGGTGTTGGTCATTTTTGAAAACAGAGCTGCTTGGGTTTTCTGCGCGTTGAACTGTACAAGGTTTTTGTTACCGTGTTCACGTGCGGAAAGACCTGTGGGTGGTATGAGTGAGGAGACTACATTGCTATCGTCTGCAAAGCAATAAAGTGGATTTACTGTTTTATCTATGAGGTCATTTATGTAAATCAGAAAAAGAGTTGGCGAAAGGATTGCTCCCTGTGGCACACCAGCATTTATTTGGTAAGAGTTGGAGTTCTGGCCATCCAGTGCAACATAAATAGATCTGTCCTTTAGGTAACTTTCAAACCAAGTGCAAACTTTCGGCAATAATCCCATTGCTTTGAGCTTTTTGAGCAGATTTTCATGCCAGAATTTGTCGAATGCTTTAGATATATCTAAGGCAATTGCACTAAATTAATTAAATTTACATAGTTTTTTTTTACAAATTGATAGGTAATCTATTTACATTTCATTGTCTGATAGATTTAAAAAGATTGATAAGAAAAGGCTGTCCCCCCTTGCCCTCCTCTAGATACGCCCTTGGTTCAAGGTATCATATCTATGTTCTGTCGCCTCTTTTTCTCCACACTGATGTTTAAACTAGTTTTCATTTGCTGCCTAGTCTCATTTCAATTTCAATTTATAGAGTACTTCTGGTAGTAACAACTTTTCCACGCAGGGCCGGCCCTACCATAAGGCGAATGGAACGAGCGCTCCAGGCGCCAGACCTCGAGGGGCGCCTCCGACTTGTTCCTTGGTGAAAAAAAAAAAGAGAAAAATATGTTTCTGAAATCTGTTTATCCGAACGATATTTTTGCATTACAGCCTATGGCCGAATTTTTGATTTTTTCTCTGGAAATCTGGGAAACTTTGGGAAATGTAGAATTTTTTTATATTATCTAGGAGCCTTTTAGCTTTGACATACCAAAATTTGATTGGATGAAAACCAAAGATAGCTGAGTTACGATTTTTTTAATCCGAAGCTCCATTGAGTGATATTTTTGCATTACAGCCTATGGCCTGATTTCTGATTTTTTTCCTGGAAATCTGGGAAACCTGGAGGAGCCAAATATTTTTTGGCTTATTGAGGAAGCTTTCGGTTTCAACATATTAAAATTTTGTTGAAAAATAGTACAGGATAACCGAGCTATGATTTTAACAATTAAATAGACTCACTTAGTGATATCTTTGCCATTGCCATTGATGGCCTCATTCCTAATTTTTTTTCTAAAAATTCTGGAAACTTGTATTGACCAAATATGTTTTTTATTTATTAAGGAAGCTTTTAGCTTCAACATACTAAAATTTTATAGAGAAATAGCCGAGAATAACGGAGCTACAATCAGACAGACACACTTACGCTATGTCCAACGTGAACACAATACGAGCAGTGCGTGCGATGCGGCAAACGCACGCACCGTTGAAAAAACACGGCAAATGCGTTTGTGTCCAACGTGCCCACGACATTGTCGGTCGTTGTTCCTTGTCTCTTGCGTTGCTTTGCATTTATGAAATGGAGGAACCAGAACCTGTACTTTTATTAGAAATAGTATACTGAAATTGAAAAAGTTAAGAAGAATGGCCAAGGAAGAAAAAGCAATCGTCCTATGAAATATTTCGAAAACGATTAAAGTTGAAAGAATTTCATCATTTATATCAACAGCTAATTCCAAATGCATTTCTTTTATTCCATAAAACATCACGTTTCTGAATTTCATTAATAAATTCTTCCATCGTCAGCATCCGTCGTACGAGTTCTGCGTGCAAATTCAAACATGTTTGTATTTTAAACAAAGCGTGCGTTGCGGGTACACAAAATCGCCCGCAACGCCCGCGCAATGCATCTACTTTGGACGTACTAATTTAAATACATAGGTTTAATCGCAGACGTTCACCGCATCGCACGTACCGCATCGCACGTACCGCATCGCACGTACCGCATCGCACGTACCGCATCGCACGTACCGCATCGCACGTACCGCATCGCACGTACCGCATCGCACGTACCGCATCGCACGTACCGCATCGCACGTACCGCATCGCACGTACCGCATCGCACGTACCGCATCGCACGTACCGCATCGCACGTACCGCATCGCACGTACCGCATCGCACGTACCGCATCGCACGTACCGCATCGCACGTACCGCATCGCACGTACCGCATCGCACGTACCGCTTGTGTCGTGTTCACGTTGGACATAGCGTTAGTGATATTTTTGCCATAGCCTGATTGCCTCATTCCTGATTTTTTTTTTCTAAAAATTCTGGAAACCTAAATTAACCATTTTTTTTTTAATTTACTAAGGAAGCTTTTAGCTTCAACATATTGAAATTTTATGGAGAAATAGTCCAGGATAACGGAGGTATGATTTTTACAATCAGATAGACACACTGCTCTGAATCCTGTCTTCGCTTTTCGATATTCTGCTATTCTGCTTGCGAGCAAAAGGGTGGTAAGTCTGTGATAAGACAGCAGCTGAAACCCAGCCAGTAGGTAGGAAGAGCCCAGCTGACGTCTCCCAATACCAATTCCTGTGCCTGTGGCGCCCATACTGAATCTCTCCTATTAAAGGGGGTGTAACCTTAAAATACAACTTGTATTCAGAAAATAAAGAAGACAATTCTAAGAACTCTTGTGAAAATCTCGCAGCGCTACTCAAAATAATAAGGTAGATACGACTAAATAAAATTATGTCTATTCATCGCGTGACGTCATAAATACACACAAAAATTGCAAAACCCATTTAAACTGACGCAGCAATAGATGTGAGAACGCAAAAACGATTCGATAATGTCGATAATAGCTCTTTTCCAACCGACATGAGAAACGTCCTAGAACGGTAATTTCCAGTTGATCAATTCATTTGTCAAGTAGAATAAATGTTCAACTTATTGAAAACTAGGTGGACAACTGGAAATTACTGGTTCTGAAACGGTTCTCCTGTCGGTGGAACTGAGCTAACATATGCAGCAAGAATCAGCATACGCGCGCCAGCGCCGGCTGTCGGACTCAGTTTGTGCATATGACGTCACAGTGCTAGGAGTAGGAATTTTATATCACAGTATCTTCGCAAAGGTTGGTCGTAACCTAGTGCGGTTTGAAAATTTGTTCTTAGATTTTTTTTTCTAAAACTTATTTTTGGGTCACACCCCGTTCAAGATTATCGATAGCAATAATTTAATTTGTTTTTAATTTGAATAATACTTGAAAGAAAAAATGCCTTAATTATTTTTTGAAGTATTTCTACGTGAATGTCATTTCAAGTACCTACGCAAGTTTGAGTTAATACTAACTTGACTCTGACTTCCGTGGAATTTGGTACTTGTACTTGAATTTGGGAAATTCAAGTCAATTTACTTGACATTTTAAGTTTAGAACAGCTCTGATCGGTGGATAGAGTATACGATTTACATTTACTTAATTAGGGGCGCCAAAGTCAGATCTCGCTCCATCCTAAAAGTAACCTCGAGCCGGCACTGTTTCCACGTAACTCTGTTATCTATCATTTTCTGTTCTTTTCGTCATGTTTTAGACATTTATCGCCCACCCTATTGAATATTTTGGACAAGTGTTGTAGAGTCTTCCATCTGTATACCTACCATTTGCCTTTGATATTTATTTGAAATAACAATAGACAATTTTTAGAACTATACTTCCACAAGCGGTTATGCGGAGAAATAGCAGAAAAATGTACTTATTTACAACAACTCTCTATTATCATTAAAAGAAAAACTAAATAAAAGTCTCAAAAGAATGAAAATACCCATTACCTTAACATCATTTTGTGAGCCTTTGGCATTGATAAGGATGTTCTGGAAAAGAAAGTAGGTAATATTAATATATTGTTTTTGTCCAATAATTTTATCAATATATTCTGTTGAGAGGTTGTTAACTTGTGAAACATATTTACTAATTCTGTAGAATAAACAATTTGCTTATTGTTTGTTTTAAAGCATGTATTAGTAAACTTACTAAGTTTGTCTTACCTGTAAATGCCTCCGTCTGTGTTCGTCACTGTCCATGTCGAGCAATTCGTCTATATCAACTTCCACTTCTTCATTACTTACGCTATCCTCTATTTTATTCTGCAACATGAAAGAAAAAAAATTGGTATTTGATATTGAAGTATTTTGCGAATTTTGGCATGTATCCTAAAGTCTAGATGTCGTTTTTTGTTTGCAACAAATTGTTGAACTAGTTCGCACGCCCACAAGTTATATTACCTTGTAAAAATCTCATACCAAAATTTCCACAGGATTATTAGTCAGAAAACACACAAAATACTCGTGTGCAAAAATTAAATCTCCACATTTCCGTACAGTTAGTGCCGTATCAAATTGTGTATTTTTAAAAATTTAATTGCATCGTCTAAATACTGTACATAATGTGAGAACAGTTTGTTCTTTATTTCTCATATACATGAAAAATGTGGGTCATTATATTAGCAAATAATAATGGTGCAGGAAAATTACACAATTTCTTTATTTCTACAGGAAGCAATGCGGATAATTTATTCGAAATTTCAAGTCAGAAGTCAGTTCCTCAATTATGTGGAAGGCTTTACCAGATTTACAAACAATCACAATTTCTTAAATTAAAATTTTTAAAATAGTAAAAATTCCCTATATGGCAGAAAATGAAACAGAACAATTTGTTTGAAATTAAAAAATACATATACACCCACAGAAAGTAATAAAAAATTAAAAATACATGCGTTATTAGAAACAAGTCCTTGCAAATAATTAGATTTTTAAATTGATTCAATACACACAACACAAATAGAGAACAAACTTTGCTTTTTCTTTATTAATTATTAGCTGCATGGTTAAGAGCCTATTGACCTTTTGATAAAGATAAAATATTGTTTATTATGCATATATTATCTTTAATTGGCAAATCAATTGAGGAGATTATGCACTGCAGTAACAATGGACCCGCAGATAATAAATAAACCCAGAAATTCTTAAAATACCTAGTTGAAATGCCTACAATAAAATTAGCTCCGCTGATTAAAATAGATTTAATATCGTCATTGGAAAATCCTTAAAACAATAAAATTTTTGGCTAATTTAAAATCAGTATAATCGGCAAACAAACAACCTATAAAACACAACAGTCAATAAAGCGTTCCTTAAAAAAAAAAAAAGATGTGCTACCTATATTTCTCGTTTCCATTAACCTTTTACAGTATATTTTACTACTAATTAATTAATCAGTTTCCATTTACAGCACAGCACAATTTTCCTAAGAAGCAATTATTCTATCTCCTATTTAATTTTGCCCCAGACTTTGAAGAGGAAATAGAAGTGATAAAAGAGACACACTTGGTAGGTATAGTATAAAAACGGTTTAATGATTGTTAATGTAAATTAGGTTTTATTTTTAATCAATCTGCCTAACAATTTTTATGGAATATAATTCTCTTAACCAACATGCTTTTTCCTACATGTTTAATCTTTTCTAGTAGAGACTTTGCTAGTAGTTTTCAATGACTATGAAACCGCAAATGATTGACAAAGCCATAATCACGTTTCTATAGTTGCTGAAAAGTCAACCATCGAACATGACTCACAATATTTAACTGTAAACCGAACCTAGCAGCTGATGTTTGAAGATTGAGCAACGGCCTTCAAATTTTAGCTACCTATTGTTCGTCATACCATACCATTACCAAAGTTGTCATACTTTCTTGAAATACGAAATTTACATGGTTGACCAATCAAAAACATAGGCGAATACAGTGTTGTGAACTAGTGAATTTATTATTACTTATACCATCAATAATCCTAATGTTCGCTACATTTTCTCTTCTACAAGTTTTACCATCTGTGTAATTGAGTCCCAAGTTTTATTATAACAATACTTTATGCTGTTAGGGTTCAAAGACGATGCCGGCTAGAATTATTATATAACCAATGTCCTGTTCACACCAATTTCTCAAAAGTTGGTAGGTACTGCTATTGCAGAAACCCCAATTGTTGTAAATATAAAAACTAAGTCAAATACAGCCCATGGGAAGTACTCTTGCCGCCAAAGACATAGTACCTTCCCAGGCCTTTTTTATAATACAGATGGCAAGAATTACAACCCCTAGGCTAATTTTAGGTTCATGATTGTACAAACGTTTCGTAACATTTTAGCACCTGAATAAAATATGTTGTTAGGATAAGTCAATTTTAGGAAATTGTAAAATATCCTTCTTTAGGGAGGTCCAGGCTTTTCTTGGTGGAAGATAGTTGAAGGCAAGGTATTCAGATTCCGAGCTTCACTCTGAATAGTCGAGTTGCCTCTCAACACTCTTAACTAAGTGTCCCCCCCCCCTCAAGGAGAATTTTAATAAATGAAATATTTTTATACAATACCGAGTTTTAACTATCGAAGTACGAAATTGGAGCGAGCGGAAAACTCCAGGTACTCAACATTCGTGTCATCGGTCAACTTCCGATTCCCAACAACAGAAGCACCTTGCGAAATTAATGTTTTCAAGTTATTCTCGCGTTTTGTTTTTTTTTTCTATTATTGCATAAGGCAGTCGATAAATACCTATTGGTTTTTTGTACCTAAGGAGGCGCAGGGTATGTTAAGGGGAAGTGCAAGAGTTTAATATTTTTTTTTTATCTAGTACTATAACAGATGAGATGAAACACCAATATTTTTAGACTATATGCATTGGCCGACTTCGTCACAATCTTGGATTAATTAAGAGCGAGTTAGTTTATTGGTAATTGATATTTTGAGAATAATTAATAACACGATACTAACGGATTAAATACAATTGTTGTCAGTTGATTCTTTGAAAATATAAATGCATGCTGTATGAATCATACTCAATCTGTATGTTTTGTAAAGATTTTTGCTACATGCAGTTACATAAATAAGTTATGAAAGAGCTACGAATACGTTCTTCAAAAAGTTGGTATAATCAATATTGTCACGAACTCGGAGTCGGCGGCTCCACGAAAATTTCCTTCACCAACAACAACTTTTATTGAATTGTTGACTTGGCAAAATTCGTGATTAGTGAACTTTGTTATTCATATAAGTTTAATAAAAGTTATTGTTATAAGTGAAGAGAGTTGTTGATTATGTTCTTACCTTATTTTAGAAGTATAATAGCCCACTCATGACTTATTGATATCATATCGCTATAACTGACCTTTATAAGACAATTATCTTATTTATTTTAAACTGACTGCAACTTACAAACGGGCTTCCTACTAATCCAGAATCCAGCTGCAAGCTGGAATACTTTCAATACGTGGGCTACGTAAATTTGGGTGCATACAACCAACCAGTCAACCGAGAAATCTCTAGAATTTTCTCAAATTCTTGTTTATTTAATGCAATGCATACAACGGGAAAATATTCCTGAATATTTCCACACCTAGTCGTATCTACTGCGTACATAGTGGCGTCAACTTTTTTGCACCAGTCTGATTCCGTAATCCTACAGTCCAGTTTTTATAATCTAATACTCCAAAGGAATGACAGCTGGTGGCTCCCTACGTTAGCATGCCCTACTCACACCTGTTTTTGATTTATTTTTACTCCGGATCTCCTCATACGGAGATTGTCAAATTTTAAAAAATCAAGCTTAACATTACATCCGCCGATGTCACCATTTATTCTTGTGGCAAGCCTCCAACCTGTGAAGATTCACCACTTTCTATTCTAAGTCTCGACCTCATCTCAAATCCGTAATCATGCCATGTATATAATTCTTCATTTTCCTACTACCAGCAGTACATACTGGATGAATTTCAGAGTTGTTAGTAGGTAAAAAAAAAAGTTTCTGCTGCTAATATTATTAGCAATTATTAAACTAGAGGGCACGATTTTGGTTTAAGTTTGAAGTAGGTACCAGTTTAGTACCAAAACTTTCCGTTGGCTTTTTTTTTTTTGAAAAGGAGCTCTGCTTGTTCAGCTTGACTTTTCTTCGTCCCTTTTGAATTTTGCCGTTCGCCCTGATAGGTCGACTCTTGTTACCGTTCTCGCGAAAAAAATACCTTATCGGCCATCAGGCACTGTTTTAACGACATAAAGTTGTGTAAGGCAATCATCCATTAAATACCCAAAAAATTTAAATCGAAAGTCTTGTGATTACCGTTTTATTCGAGTTTGAATTTCGTACCCCTTCGTGGTAAGTCCTTTTTAATTATTTTAAAGTGATGGTTGTTCATGGAAGTAATAGAGGTTACTTAGGGTTTTCCGAAGAGCCATTTCTCTCAACGAATCCATTCCCAACAAGCCCACATTTTCAAGGACACCATTTTGGTAGAGTGTGGCATAGAGCTTTTGAAGGGATTCCTAGATGAATCAAGTCCTTCACGTATTGACTCCTGTACCTCCACATTTGACGATACTTTTGACTACTTCTAGCCTCTATCTACCTTGATTCAAGGTTAGAATCTATGAAGCATCTGTTTGAAGGATAATATTGATTTAGATTAGTAGTCGTATCCCACCAATCTTGTTTTTCCCAGTTTTTCTTTCTTCTACTAGTGATGCCACGAGACTCGAGACTGGTCTCGTCTCGTCTCGTGAAATTTTGACGAGACGAGACCAGACTAGGCGAGAGTCTCGTGTAGTCTCGAGTCTCGAGATTACACTTAAAATTTTTCTTTCATAGCTTTATCATTGGACTATTTTGGGCTATTTGAATATGAAATAAGTAAATTAAATATCCCGGTTACTTTTTACTGTGATTTTTCACTCATTGCTTTTTCACTGAGGCAGTTTGGACTTCCGTTATAATATAAAAATAAAAACCATAAATACAGGGTGTCCGAAAAATAGCGTAAAAGCTCTCCACGTAGTAGGGGACCCTTTGAGAAACCCTAGAAAAATAATAACATTAAAAAATCCTTCTCCAGCATTATTCTTGGTAATATGAAGAGGTAGATGTGAAAATTCACACCTGGGGTTCCTTGTAGGGTACTCCACCACGTAGAGAAGAGTTTTTACGCTATTTTTTGGACACCCTGTATAACCAGACGAGACCACTCGAGACGAGACGAGACTTTGGTACTCGAGACCGAGACTAAGTCACGGTCTCGTCTCGAGATGGCGAGACGAGACGAGACCAACCCTTAGT